TCCACAGAGCAGATCATGCTAGCTTTCTAGCACTGCAAGACCCATGACAGCTCGAAGATGGATTATCCAGTGTATATATATGTCGGCTGCGAAAGGTTTGCTCCATAGCACTCGTAGTCCGGCAACGAACTGCCACTCAAGACATGGATTGAAGCTGCAGGTTCTGCCCGCAACCCTACCCAATGTCACCCGAAAAGAAAGCACTTCGGATCTAGCCGCGGCTTTTCTTGGACTTGGGCCCTTTGGTTCCCTCTTCTTTCGCCGCTGGAGCAGGCCTTTTCTTGGCCCCGGGCTTGCTCTTCTCAGTATCCGAAACATTCTTGTCAAAGTATTTTTTGGCATTCCTTCAAGGCAAGACTGGCTCTAACCTGTTTATTTTTTCGAAGATGAGTGTCAGGATTAGCCGAGCATCCTGATCTTCATCTCTGCAGCCGTGGCTCGGGCGCACCTGTTCGGGAACGACTGTGGGTTCTGGGGCCGGGTGGATTCAAGGTGTTCGGAGAGACGTTTTCGATAAGATTGAAATGCCGCCCAGCGGCACAAGTGTTGCTTCCTTGATGCGCTTCTCCGTCTGAGCATGGAACCTGAGGAGTTTAAGGACTTCATATTCGGGCTTATGTTAGATTTGTCCCCTCAAATCGTCAAACCTGAGAATCAAGATTGAAACCTGCAACCATAAACTTAAATTGAGCTAGGAAACTCGGGGGTTGGTTCAGATGCATCGCACTGGGCATAGGCCACATTGAGGTCATCGTAGTGCTTCTCGATCTCCATAATAGAAGACTCCAAAGTCTTCACAGACCTTAGTGGGGTTGGCTGGGATACAGGTTCTTACTTGGTCAACGGTTTTTTCTGGCACATTGAGCAGAGAAGCTTCTTGCAATCGTCATCTTGTGCGTACTTCTTTGAGAGGTCACGTACCAGGCTTCGTAGTTTACCACACTTGTCCATAGTCGATTCCAGCATCTTGTGCAAGGTGCTCTTCAACTGGGACAGGGATGATGTACTTCAGATGGTGTTGAATACAACTATACGACTGTAAGGATATATGTACCTGTCTGGGGGCGCGTTATCTTTATGTAGGTGGTAGGATGCACATGCCTGGTTGTTCTGGTGTTGCTTCGGGTCGATCTGTATGGCTGCCGTAGGCTTCTGTGCACGGCTCTGGTAGTCCTCCAACATTTTCTGGTCCGTGAGGCATCCGGGCACCGCGGGCATTTGCTCGACCTGTGCTTGGGGCAGCAAAAGGTTTAGGGGTTGTAGGGTTTAGAGGTTTTAGGGTTTCGGATTTGAGAAAATGGGAATTGGAGCAGGCCTTGCTTTCCTGCTTGTGCTCCTTCTCATGGCTGTGTTCCTGGGCCCTGACACCTGTCTCCCGCACCACGACCCAGTACTCCATCAGGCCGTCGTATCGGTTCTTCCTGTTGGCTATACATGATTGAGAAGTTTGCTATCGCGGCTAAGGAATCAAGGTAAAGGGTCTTTGGGAACGGAGGACTTCGGAAAACCCAAATAAACCTTGGAATCGTTTATCATATTGGATACAATCACATTGACTTAAGAGAAACAAACAGAAATCTCGATAACACCCCACCTGTAGAAGTTTGGCCCTGCGTCCAAACAAGTCTGGACTGCACCCTTGCGCTTCTTCCTTGGTTGCTGTTTTGCATGGGAGAGCGAATACAAAAATCATGATTAGGAGGTTTGCGCTATCTCATTCTGAGGGTCTCCGGCCAATGGAGGTCGTCCTCCATCTCTTGCTCACTGTACCAGCCCTCCTCAACCTTAAGCTTAATGGAAGTCTTGGTACGAACGACGACCTCCAAGCGGACCAAGAACTTGTCCTGCCAACGGAAAACATACTTGAGGACTTCACCTTTCGGGGGTGGGGTGTTCGAGATTTCGGGCTTATCTCCTGAACCCTTAAAGGCTTGGGCTTGCGTGTCGGCAGAAGGTTTAGATGATGAAAAGGTTCCTATAAAGCTTCCTTAGGGTATCTTAGGGTCGAAATCCTCAGGGGTGATAAGTGTTTCTTGTGGCGGGTTGTTCTTCCTATAGGCTGCTACGTTGGGTAGTTCGGTTAATATTAATCAAGGAAAAGGTATCCGGGGGCTTGAGTTTTGGATTGAGGTTTTTTTCGATCGCCTTGTCGAAGTTTTGCTCCTGGAGAACGGAGGCTATCTTCGTCTTGTCCCCGGTCGTCCATTCGTCTCGTACCCATTGTGGCACTTCAAGGTCATGGCGGCGGGATTTTGGTTTGCACATTCGGTCTATGCGGGCCTTCGCGGCCCGAATCAGCTTCTCCTTAGTGGAGTCAATCTCTGTTGCGAGAAGATCTATATGCGATCGTGTTTGCAGGATCATAAACGTATATATTTACAGATGTAGCACCTGCCGCGTTGGCTCTTTTCGCGTCTTGACCCCGGACCCATCACCAAGATCCACTGCACGATTTTTCGGAGGGGGGGTTACCAGTTCCTCATCGTCACTGGTCGCCTCATTCTTGATACCGGGGAAGACTTTGCCCAAAGAGTCCCGCAGCATCCGATGCAGCAATTGATCTGCCTCGGCTTCCTGGGCTTCAGTTCGGGCTGTGGGTTTTCTTGAGTGGACGGGCAAGTATAGTCGACTTTGCATACCGAAGGGCAATTTGCTCTGCATCATCGGAACGATCATCCTTATCCGAGTCGGGACGAGAGAGAGAGAGAGAGAGAGAGAGAGAGAGAGACAGAGAGACAGAGAGACAGAGAGACAGAGAGACAGAGAGAGCGAGAGAGAGAAAGAGATAGAGAGAGAGAGAGAGAGAGAAAACGAGAGAGACAGAGAGAAAGGCAGAGCGAGAGAGAGAAACGACAGCAATTGGCATCCCCTTGAGTTGCCATAAACCACAAAGGCAAACATCATCTTGCAACGAGCGGCTTCTTCATCAGCCGAACTGATCACCCCATAATCATCATGTGCCACGGATTCCGGTGGCTCCTGTCCCAAGCCTGCTAGCTGTAGGTCAACAGCCGAAGCCTCGGATGTAAAGAAGAAACCCCATGAGTCTTATATGCACACTGCGCATGAACTCAGGACTTCACTGGAAGGGTTTCGGCTTCCATCAACGGTTCTGGAACCTTTGGCTCCTGAGCCGGCGGTACCATCTCATCGGGCTGGTCCATCGTCGCAGCCGAGTCGACAGGAGCAGAGACGGGCTCCATCACTTCCTGCCCAGTATAGGAATATATATGGAATAATGGATGAAACCTTGATTGCTCCCGAACAATCTCAGACCCGACCTGCTCTGATTCTCCAGCGTCTTCAGCAAGCAATTTTTCCAGCTCCTGCTACAGGTTTGTTATATACAGGGTTTACAAGATGTACTTATGGGTTTCAGGGCTTCTATATTTGCATACGGGGGAGGCAAGAGAGAGGTCCCCTAAACGGTGTTCCCACGTCTGTCCTCAAGTTCCTGCTGGCATGCACCAGCATCGAGAAGCTCCGAAGAATTGGACACATGGTCTAGCCCTTCGAATAGCGTTGCGCACGACCACAACTTCGAAACAGACGCAGGAACTGCCATGGCGATTGCCCGGCAAAAGCAAGGTAAAACACCGAAGAACTTGAGAGTTCATATGAAGAAACATATCAGCTGAGCAGCAGGTGTAAGTGCAGCATGACACAACACGTGTCCCGCAACACAAATCAGAACTTTCTTCTTTCCGATAGCACGCGACGCCAATAACAGCCCCTGGCTGCGGGACAAACCACAGACCTTTGAAATTAATTGCTGCGCAGAACCCTTCAAAAAGAGTTCGCAACGGCTCTAAAACGCTCTAGGTAAGACCCCGGGTTAACCCATGACCGCGTCATGGGTAAATCATGGGTCTGCCATGGGTAAATCACGGGTCCGTCACGCTTTGGGGTCAACCCGGGGTTCCACAGAAACCCGGGGTTTAGGGTGGTAGCATCACGGGTTGTCAGGGAGTAAACCCCGGGTTACCAGCGGGAAATCACGGGTAGGTCACGGGTAAACCCGGGTTCTTACTACCCTCCCTGGTCCAGACTCTTGCCAGGATAGGCCGAAACCGCTAAAAGCGCTAAAAAGCACCCACAATTGCTATTATTTAATTACAGTACCAATCCTTGGAAACCAGAGCCCGCGCAAGCAACAGGCAAAAGCCCCGAACCCGCATCAGTCTTCGAAAACCAGTGCGCGCATAAGCCCCACAGAGCCCGCATAAGACCCAAACCCGCACAAAGCTGTAATCATAAGGCCGCAGTAGCAATTGAAAGCAACTCCATTCCGAAAGCCAGCAAAGGAAGAGTTACAGTCGCGACAAGAACGATTATTTGCACAAGCGGGCTTATAGGGTTTCTGTGATATATAAGGGTCGGGCCTCCATAGCAAAACGCTGTCATCCCGAAACCTATAAGGTCAGAATCTGGAACCCTTAAGAAGATAATTCTATCTGTGTTTTTTCGACCTAAGGCAAATCGAGTCTCCGTGGAATAAAAGGTCGCCACAGTTCAGGAATCGTGAGACTTTTGCATCCCCGCAAGTATACAAAAACGGACGGAAGATCAGCTGTAGAGAATTCCCCACAGATACTTTCACCCCCGGCCATCCAAAACACTGTCTGCTGCCCTGGACTCACATCTCCCTCTGACACAGGACAGCCACGGCGATGCATCTTCAACTGCTCGGAGAGGCGCTCCATCTCGCGGGCAAAGGCGACGGGGTAGACCCTGGGATGGCAAAATTGGGAGTGTTACAGGCGGGTCTACTGGATTTAAGGGTTTAAGCTTTAGGGTTTTTAGGGCTTGTAACACTAACTGTATATATATTCGCATCGATCATTTTCTATTTACGTTTTCGTTGTTCAGTTTAACTTATATACTAATTATGCTACATCTCCCTTAACCCACTACACACAGAATTGCAACTATATATATATAGACCCCTTTAAGGAACCCTATATATAGACCCCTTTAAGGAACCCTATATATATATAAGGTCACGAGGTTATATAGGAGATGGTCACATAACCTTTCTGGGTAATCTTTGGACTGTCGGGGTTCGCTACTTCAAACTTGAATATATCATGTTTATTGTCAAAGGCAAGGAGCTGGGTCTGTCGGAGGTTCTTGTTGCCCCAGTACCTGACCCGGCCTTTCTGGTCCCTAGCCCTCTCGACGGTTTTAGTGGTACACATACCCTTGCGCATGGCCCACTTCAAGCGCCCTCGGTCCAGCAAGTAGGCCACTGTCGTGTTGGAGACAAGATAATGTCTCTTTGGAGTTTTGGACCCATAGTTGCCCATCCAGAAGCGGACAGTGGAAACCTTGGACTTATAGTCTTATCTATTTGGCAGAGGAAATAGCAGGATATACAGGACGTGCGACCCCGAAGCGGACCAAGTCCCAGTAAGCCCAACACTGCGTAGGGGCCGCCGACACCCCGAATAGCCAACATTAGAGACCGCCAGCATGGGTAGTATTCAAGGAAGCTACCAGCCGGTTGCTCCAATGTCCAACAGGCATCCATCGCGGTGCACAGCATCACCAGGAGAGTTGTCCTGACACACGCATCGCTTTGGGGCTTATAAGGATGGGAAACACATTCCTGCTGAGATATTGCAACACCAGTCCTCTCTAGCAGCTTGTTCGCATAAGCTACACTTTCATGCCCTGTGTAACCAATGGAGTTGCATGCCGAGCGTTTGGACGTTCCCATGTTCAGCACACAGAACGAGCTGCATTTGATGCCGAAGTGAACCAATGCCTTGTAGCATTTCAAGATAGAAAGGATTGCCAGCCTGGGCCGACCAGGAATGTCAATACGATTGCGGTTGTAAACAAATACTCAGTGCGCACGATAAACGAACTAAGCTAGAAGCGCAAAGCCAGCGTCAGTTTGCAGGTCCATAAAATTGGTGCCGGGTCGTTGTTCAGCATCCATAATATCGAAACGAACAGATCTGTGTCCAGCCGCTCTCATGACACGATGGATATTGCCAGCTCCAGCAAAGAACTCCACATAGGAATATTCCTATAGTGCGACCCAAAAAGTAAGATCCACCAACTTTCACCCAGTACTCTAAGACCCCAATGCAAACTAAGAACGATCCTCTCCGAGTCGACGTTGACCCCTGTGTTAAGCCTTCCACCCCAAAACCTAGCCCAGAATCCGGTACCAGGAGGTTCTGATCCACGGACCACACGGCGAGGAGGCAGATCAGCACGAATGCCTGGTCAGGTTTGCAGGATGTTCTGAGTTTTCCGAAGTGTTGGCACAGGATCTCGTGGGGTCCTTATCTGATTGCATATCGAGCCTGCCTTCGGAGCTCCCAAGACTTTCAATCTCCAGCACAAAGTGTCCACATCAAGCATAGCTGCCGAGGCTGTGTGTAAGGCAGTGCAGATGCTTTTTGACAGAGCATGAACTGAGCTATTTATACATTCCTGTCCACAACAAATCTGCAGCGACCTCTGCAAACGGCTTCGATGAGTTGAGCAGCGCTGAATCACAAATGAACACACGATTCCCATACCCTGCACGTGTCAGCAGAACTCCACCAACGAAACATGCAGGCTCGTCGACTCTGCAGCCTCCGAACATGCCTCGCATGCCACTGGTATCCTTTCGGAAGAAGAGGCATCGCTGGTCGGGCCTGGGCAAGAACAGATGTTAGGGGTGTATATTAGGTTTAAGGTTCCGGTGTAATTTCGAGGATCGGTTTTGGGTTCGGCAGGCTCTTTCAAACAAAAGCAAGCGGTTCCGGGCTTCTGATTCCGTGTCCCCTCTCCTGTGTTAGTTTGGTGAAGAACATTCTTTGGGCCGGCAATACCTTAAAAGTTATAAGATTTGTGGAGCATACACAGGTTGAGGGTTTAGGGTTTATAGGGTTTATGTAGATTTTATCTTAGTGCACGACGGACCTGTTCACACTAACGCTCTTGTACCCTGGCACCGCTTGGGCTTTGTAGAGTTTAGGCCCCTCTTGGGTTTAGTGGGTTAAAGTCTCACACAAACTGTATATGTTGTATATACGTCTCAGGGTTTGTATTTTTTGTGCGAGCACTACATATACCCAAAGTCAAAGAACAAACTGACTCGAAACCCTTCGGCCCCGTTGTACCCTGATCCTACAACCCCCGTTGGACACCACTACAAAACCCAAATCCCAAATATATATATGCCAGCCCGAACCCCACAAACATCTGATGTCATTTGCGCCGATGAGCTGCGATTGTCCTTCAATCTCAGGTTACCGAGATCGTCTGCCAAGCCAGAGCCGGCCACTTCAGAAATGAACCCAGGTTGCAACCCCGAGACTTTCGTAGCTCGATCTGTTTTAAAGGCAGGAGTTGCTTCCTGGGGTGACGAGGTTTTGTCGGGAACATGCCCGTCTTGCGCTGTGACATATATAACACTGATCGAAGTAGCAGGGGTCTGGCAAGGATTGGAACATATTGGAACATTGTGTGTATAAGTACTGTATAAGCCACATAGCCTACGGAGTTTATGTTAGTTCTTGTAACCAGCACAATTCAAGAACAGGCCAAAACACCTACCTTGATCTCAGCAAAATGCGTGTTGCACCGGTCTAAAGCATCGGTGTGCCTACGATCGTAAACCCTGCACAAGCATCTCAGCCTGTGAACCCCACGATCAAATCTATACACACATCCGCTCGGCGGCGCGCCTAAGAGATCACAAGCGAGCAAAATCGATTACTCTGCCCGGGAAAGCGTCCGCAGCGCTTCAAGCAGCTGCTCCTTGATCACCGTGATGAATGAATCGGCCTCGACAGACTTTGTCACGATCCATTGGTTCGTGATGCCATCGGCGATCAAGCCATCCACAACGATGCTCACAAGCTCACCGGCTTTCATTGTCATAGCCATCTTGGCTGTCCATGCCGCATGTTTCGGCCCACCGGCAACACTGAGGTTCACAAGCTCCTTCTTGGACTCTTTCAAAAGGACGCCAGTGGAACACCTGGTCCAGTAATGCGTCAAGCTGCAAGCATCAGACTGCGCAAGCTCAGCTTTCATCCGAAGCTTCAGCGAATGGGATTGCTCCTCGCCACTGAACTTCTCGGCAAACTCGACCATGGCTGTATGGAGCTCCTCCACTGTGTCCATCGAAAGGTACTTCACAACGGCGTCATCGACAGAGATGCGGGCATACTCATCGTCGTCCAGCTCCATAGCACGCCTCGCGCGAGGCCCGGACTTGGCCTTGGCCTTGGCTTTGCTTTTCGCCTTTGGCGAAGCCGTAGCCTTCGCCTTTGCTTTCGCCTTTGCTGTGGCCTTTGCTTTGGCCTTCGCCTTCGGCCCAGCCTTGCGCTTTGGAGCCGCCTCGCGCTCCGACTCCGCTTCAGGAGCCGTGTCGCACGGCTCCTCCTCCTCCTCCTCCTGGTCCACCGGATCCGGGAACTTGGCCACCTCATACTCAAAGGCGCCAGTAGTGCTCTCCTCTGGCACTGGCCACATCTTCATCATCCGGCGCTTGCGCTTCGAAGGTGACACCATGACGCTCGGCTTACGTTTCAAGCCCTTCTTCCCACCTTTTTTCTTCATATTCTTACCCTTCTTCTTGCCCTTGGTCCTTGTGATGCCCTCCTCAACCTCCGGCGCCTCGTCATCGGGGATCTTGGATTCCGCTTCTGCCTCGTCGCATGTCACCTTGGCGGACTTGCCACCACCTTTGCCGCCACCTTTGCCTTTAGACTTCCTCTTCCTCTTCACACCGAGCTGGTCGCGCTTAGTGACCACAGGAAGTTGCCCCGCCTAGCCAAAGTTCGTGCATCAGCAAAGACCCGAAGCCTTATTAGACCCGAATTCGTGAACCCAATGAAAGGAAATTTTTGTACACCTTCAAGCCTCCTCGGAATCCGTGAACTCCTGCTGAGGATGATCGGTGGCAGCTGGCGGTTCTGCTGGCTCTGGAACGACGGCGGCTGCTGGTTCTGCTGGCTCTGGAACGACGGCGGCTGCTGCTTCTGCTGGCTCTGGAACGACGGTGGCTGCCGGTTCTGCTGGCTTTGGAACGATGGCGGCTGCTGGCTCTTCGTTCGCAAGGATTGCAGGATTTTCACCGAAGTAAATGGGGACTCTGAATGCACGGGGCTTTCTCCTCCTCCTGCATATATGGCTTCAGATTTGAAAGATTCGCTATATAATAGTCCAAAAGAGTTTTATGTAGTCTTTTGATTCCGATTAGCATATTGATAGCAGAGAAAACTTTTGAATGATCGATCCCATAGGGATGGGGGGCTAAGTCAAATAAGCTTGAAACTTCAAGTTCTCAACAGAAGGTCCTGGCAAAGTCGAGGTTGTCCCGGCAGTGGATGTAGTCCTGGGCGCAATAAAATAAAAGGATTCAATGGAGAGGGCTCCCAACCAATATAGGTGAAAAATGCGGGTAAGAGTCGTTTGAAGCTTGGCTTTGAGGGCTGCAATCCTCGCTTGCAGTGCAGAGCGCTGTTCCAGTGACAAACGGCCTGGTCGGAATCAGGCGGCTCGAGTTTTTCTACGGTCAAGAGTTGGTTACATACAGGCTTAAGGAAGCAAGCTGATTCGATGAGGTTCCCAAGCCTGATGGACGACGTTGCAGTGCGCCGGCATTGGCAGCAGTCTTCGGCAGGACAGGCTCGAGATCCTGTTGAAAGATCAGGGGTTCGTGAGAATCAGATTAATTGAGAACCAGATCAATGGCTGCAGGTTTATTGATTCCATATACAGATCATCGTGCAAACCCTTCCAGACTTGCTGTATGTGATGCAAATATTTGTATATACACACTTGCACAGCGAATGAACCGGGCCTTCGGCTCCAAAGCAGATTGTCGAATCAAAGCTGGCTTGGGAGTTTCCGGCTTTGGGGGCATCACAGCTTCTGTATCTGGCTTGGGAGCTTCGGGCTTTGGCATCGCAGCTCCCGGGCACTTGGGAGTGTTGGGCTCTGGCATCGCAGCTTCTCGGGGCTTGGGAGTTTCCGGCCTTGGCCTAGCAGCTTCGGTGGGCTTGCGAGTTTCCGCCTTTGGCGGCTCTGGCATTGCAGCTGTTGTCTCTCGCATGGGAGCTGGCTCGGAAGTTTTGGGCTTTGGCGTTGGCTCCGAAGCTTCTGTTGCCCTGGTTTCCTTTGGCTTGGGGGGCTCGATGGTTTCCGCTTTCGGGTCCGGGGTCTCGGTCTCGTCTTTATCCTCGCTGTCGTCATTGTCGTCGTAGTCATCCTCATCGGACTCCTGCCAATCGCAATCACTCAAGCTTGCCAGTGAAAGAGCCGGCTAGAA